GGACTCTTGATCCAACAAGGGCTACGACATACACACTGTACAAATGTGAGTGGGCGAGAGCGGCTGGTACTAAAGATGAAATCCACGTAGTTGTACCGAATTCCGCGCATATTAAGACTGATAGTGAAAACACTGAACTAGTATCTTCGTACAGATCAACTACTTAGCTACCAGGGCATGCATAAAAGCAGGATATCGTTGAAGCATCATGCAAACGAAAGGACAGATGCCTAGTAGATCAAATTGTTCGAGTGCAATCGAATCCTGGCTCGACCCAACTGTGATTAAATATACGGCTCACGGTGAGCCTCGTAGCTTAATGGTAGAGCATTGGCTGCGCAAAAGCCTTCCCTTCTGTGTGGGTCAACTGGATCAACTGAATTATTCAAATCTGCCAAACCCCTCTAATATTAAACAATCCTTGCGGCAAAATTGTGCGGACATTCCAGACCATCCAATAAAGACGGCGATGATTCGCACAGGATCTCAGTCCCCTACCCTGGAATTTACATGTAGCTGTCCTAAAGTTAATTGCATCGCTTCCTTGGAAACGACGACCAAGTCAATCTTAGATCAGACCCAACACGGCCTGGTACATGCAGCTGCAGTAGATCAACACATTAGGGTCCGCTGCCCCAGATCGTGGAAAAGGCTTATAACGGAATTAAGTACGGCTGGCTAGATGAAGTCTGTTTACACACAGGCACAAGAACTCACCGGGTGATTGTCCAGGTGGATGGGAGGCCGCTGGAACCGGTGGAGCTGAAGAGCTGCGCGCGGCAGACGAACTTGGAGAGCTGGCGGTTGGCTCTACTGGAACCTCCTTCGCCTTTCCAGGAGCACTCCGTGATTGAACCAGTAATTCTACGCGTAATATGCAGAAGGGACATAAAAATAATGGTAAAAAACCAAAACCGCAACGATTCTGCTTCTGTTAGACTGTTACAAAAAAGAGCACATGAGAAAAGCTTTGCTTTTGTCCAATTCATGGGCCTCATCAATCATATTACGGACAACCATTGTGACATTCATCACGCCAACGTCATATTCGGATTTTACCTGCTATCAACTGTGTGTTAGGACTTTGCCCACTTGGCCGAAGCATGTGTCCTTAAGCCCGCTTGGTCATCCACTGATGGTCCGTGTCCTTTATTTCATCCTGCCCACGTGCCTTGTCGCATGTTCCCACCCCTTGACCTCGTTGACTGCTTTCCCATTCGCTGACACACTGCGAGCTTTATTATTCCCGTGTGCATATTTACCACTCCCCACGTTCTTTTTTCCATGCATTGTGCTCTTATTTGTCCCCTGGTTCGTGGACTCCTGCCCCATGTGGGTATTCCCTTATAAACTGGCAGCAACGCGTCTGCGTCATTCACGAATGCACCTTGAATGTATGTCCACCCTCTTTTTGATTTCTACCTCGCATTTTTTACCTATCGTGCACTGTTAACCTTACCGTTTATTTCTATAGAACCACATAAAGAATAATCGAGTTATCTGACTGTCCCTTGACATAACTTCTGACCTCGGGTGCGTATATTTAGGTGACGAAAACCAGCACAGCATAAAGAAATACTGCATTTGCAACAGTTATTCGAGTTGCTCTTCAGCAGTTCTAACAGTTATTCAACCAGTTCTAACAACCATACATCTCTTCGATCGACGACAGTGCGCCCGTCGAGTTGGAAGAGGTCCGCCGTGTACACCACAGCTGAATAGTGAAAGGACGGTGACGTGCGCTGGATTATAGTGAGAGTAGACTTTCGAAGTATCTACCTCACTCTACCTTACACTCCCTACTTGAGCCCGGTGTCAAGACCCAGTAAAGAACGGAGATGAGAGGGTGCAGACCCTGTAAGCCACCATAACCAAAAAACCACAGAAAAGTTGGCGGCGCCTCGGATCCCAGATGGGGAGTGCCATAAAAGCCACATTAAGAATCCATCGCAGCCTGACTCTCAGTCCATACAGCGGGCTGACCGCGCGGTCCGAGTTATCCCGTCAGTTGACAACCTTCCAAGCCACGGCTTTTAGCACACCATGATAGCTTCAAGCGCATCAGATTGTTTATAACGAGGAAAATGCGCTAAGCAGTCGACCTCACTCTCTCCCCCACACCTAACATCGTGCCACCGTCTGAGACAGTCAGGTGTCTGATGCGGGGTGGAATATCTTCAACCACACTGAAAGGGACAAACGTAAAGAGAGGAGTTCTGACATTTACTAAACAATTAATAAGAGCAATTATGCAGGGCAATTAAAACACTTGAGGTCCCGAACGAAGTGCTTCAACATACTTTCCCTAGCTGCGAAATAAGCAGGCTCCTGGGTCTGGCAAATAGGCAGTCGCGAACTATACTATGGTAATGCCCTCAGGTGTGGGTGAGTGTCTATTAGGGAAAGCGGTCGCCTTTCAAATGAGCCCAAGCTATAGAAGAATTATGGTGGACTTATTACTGTTCGCCATCAAATATGGCTCAATTCACCGTCCGAGACAAATCTGTAATCTGAAAATGGTGTACAGGAAGTTTAAATAAAGACATTCGGCTTTGAATGCAAATGCTATGAGAAACCATTAGCGTTTACTCGGGTCTATGATCGGTCTGGTCTGTGTGCGTCAACTGAAGGTCAGTGGAGCAGAAAAGAGCAATTTGTTGGCCGACAAAGACGAAAACAACAAACTTGTATATGAAAGTGGATCGTGCATGTCGACTAGGGAGGGAGAATTTATGCATTCTCGCTTGTGTGTGGCCACCATCACACTTGTTGTGGTTAGCTGCCATGAGAAGTGACAAACCATAACAAGGACAATAGGAATAAAGATTGAAGACAATACAAAGTCACTTCATACACAATGGTATGTCAATTTTTCAGTGAGAGAATTGAGACGATCTTGCCCGAAAATAACTGGTGCTTGGGTAAGATGTCCTTTTATTAGCTCGGATGTCTGCATACAGTCAATAAAAGTTTCAGGAAGTACTGACGAAATTTGCGAAGTTCTTGACATTTAGTATTTATAAGTGCAGTAGTCGCCGGCTATTAAGCCCACCTCGGGCCCAGACCAAATTGGGCTTAATAAGCGGCGGGCTTATTAACCGTGGGCTTAATAGACGGCGACTACTGTATAGCGTGTTTGCGCTGCCAAAACAAATTCAGCCGTGCCTTCACACTAACAGCAAATGTATTTTGGTAATTATTCTCTCAAAGTGAAACACCCTAGTGACTATCTCGGAATAGGAAATTCAGTAGAGAATACTTTCATTGCGGAACGGGGTCCATCCGCTATTCGTTGGAATTCGAGTCGAATTAGATGTCACACATATACACTCAAATACTACAACACTTGTGCAAACAGAATCCTTATCTGCTGCTGTATCTGGTGATGGATGAGAGTGAATCCAAAACGTTGGGGAATAAAATTCTTGTACAAGCGACCGCGTCTCTCTCTCTTCTCAACTGCTTCGTGAAACTTGCATTTTCGCTCGTACGCACAACTTGTTTGGTAATACGATGAGAAGACTGCTTTCGGAGAAGACTTCACGTTCGGTTTCTGTACAGGTGTCGGGAAAATAACGTGTTGCCACAGTGATCTGACGAGATGAACGGTAGTCCAACCCAGCAGAAGGATGACCCAAGCGCCCCTTTAAGATTTTCCCGCGAGGCTTCACATATACGGTCAGAAGGCTGACTAAGAGATGACCTGATGTTCCAAGTGCATAGGCGGGAACGGTACAAAACTGCTTCAACAAAGGATGACTAATTGAGCCAGCGAGCACTGAAAAGCAAGCGTCACAAGCTGTCTGTTTCAGCGTCATCCAAAAATGGCAACCTGGTACACAAACTGTCGACAAAGGGGCTGGGACGGCATGAGCCTACCTCGGTAAAGCTGAGCAAAAACCTGTCAAAATGACTGCAACAATGTGGTCAATCCTTAGTCAGATGGAAAGGACCGAGGCAACGAAACGCCCAATCAGGGACCAGCTGTCATCTCACTTCAGGACCGGCAATCCGCCCGAGCCAAGACCGGTAGACGTCGTTTTCGCCCCCCGCGAATAAAGCGGGTGTCCCATCATCCTACTGGACACGACGAATATCTGAAGTCAAAAGCTTACTGGAGGACCATCAGTTCTACGTCCATTCAAACCAAATTCCGTAAAAATACGAACACGCGACATTACTCTGACGTTGTTCGCACTAAAGAACTTAGTTACTGTTAGGAGCCCTTCTAACGAGTTGCCCTGGCGAGCTCTCAGGTCACGTTATCGGTCGGCACACGCACACAGGCCGCGTGCGCACGTGCAGGCCTTCAAGAAGCCTAGGTCACATGAGACTGTTAGAACAGAGATGAACCAATCAGATTGTCAGTCGCACGAGGACACAATCTGATTGGTCCGATATAAAACGTTTCCTTGCTCAAATGCCCGTTCAAGGGACACAATGACCTCCTTTCCTTGCGACCTTGCTCTTTGTTCTCCTCGCCGGATGGAAAAAAACGTCTGGGGCGGCACAAAATCTAGCTTTTGGCAACATTACAACATCGCCGATCAACCGAGAGCCCAAAACGACCTTAGTTCGATTCGATGTCATCGTATTATTCAAAATTACTTCAACTTAGGGACTGGAAAATTGGCTGTTTCGAGGCCTCGAATTTCTTGTCGTTTATTCGGACGCTAGTATCAGTTTGTCAATACATCTCTTGGAAAAATATAAAGGGGTAAGTCTCCTGCCAAACGACGTCTTGCTATCTTTTGATGTCACGTTACTCAGGATCGGACGGTCTACAGGATTCGACTGTTCCTACAAGCTAAGTATGATGAAACGAAGAATCGGTTAAGACAAGCTCAAATCTTAAAGCGCTTCAAGTTTATGTTCATGACATACTTTTCGTCTAACGGAAGAATCCACAAGCAGATGGAAGGTACGCCAATGGAATTATCGATTTCATAACAGAAATGGTCCTGCAAGTCGCTGATCTTCCAACGTTATAGACCAAAATGTTAGGGTCGGTATGTGAATGATACTATTGTCGTCATCGAAGGAGATCAAGGGCTGCCATTCAAAGGCCATCTTAATACCGTCTTCCCGATACACAATTTTCGATGCAGGACGATGAAAACAACCAGCTGGTCTTGTTTTATGTCCTTGTCTGCCGCAAAAACGTATTTGGCTTAAAAAACAAAGTATTCCGTAAAGTGATAAATACTACGCAAGTACTGAGCTTTTACAGCAAACAGCGCTACACGTAGAAGCGAATATGCGTGCCCCAGGTTCTTGTTGTAGAGAGGAGGAAGACGCGATCTCTGGAACGAGCACAAAACGGGCAGTGCGGAAAGGCGACCCACTGTCCCAGATCGCTACCTACACTCTGGAAGAAGGCCGCGAA